TGTGTGAAATAATTAAGTTCATGTTTAGTATATTCCAAGCTCATTTTCAATCTATTACAAATTCATGTTTAAAGTATTACTTCAAATTGAACATGTATCAATATATAATAAATTTATAGTATATTAAAATTAAATATGTAATATACTTAAAATAAATTTGTATGCCAGTGATTCACCTTACAATATAAATCATAAGTTCACGCTAAAACAATTGTACAAAAAAGTATGAGCTACCCTAAACGCTTTACGTAGGGCATCTCCAATGCCACAAAATGAGGGGAGAAAGAAGGGGAGAAAAAGGAAGAAAGGGGGGGGGGTGGGGGGGTGGGGAAAGTGGACGAGGAAGGGAGAAACAACCTCTGGAAAGATCGACAGTCATCTCCGGAAGTTATTTCCTCAAGCTCAGTAACTTTATCGATTAATTATTCAGACATTCTTTGAACAAAAGTAAACTTTCTTAAAGTCAGATATTGCAGATGAAATGTTACCAAAGTAAAAGGAGCCCTATGTATATTTCTCAAAAAGCCAAGATAAAATGTGCAGTTTACAAAGTAAAAAGCAATTAAGCATCAAAAGTAGGGACAATGGCTACAAATCGGCAAATTATATCGTGCACCAGGGTGCACAATGCATTGTGCGCCCTGATCCAAAATGACGTCGTTTTGTATCTTTTCGTGTGTCTAATGTTAACTCCTTAGAAAAATTCATGTTTCGAATATACAGAATTGTATAATAGAATACACATAATTTTATACCTGAAAACACATAATTTTATAACTAAATATACATAATCTTTTTTGAAAGGATAATACACATAATCTAACATAATACATAATATACATAAACTCTTAACTCTTAAAAAAAAATCAATGTTTCAAATGTACAGAATTATATAATAGAATGCATAGAATTTTATACCTGAAAACACAGAATTTTATAACTGAAAATTCCCATGTTTCGAATGTTCTAAATTATATAATAGAATGCACAGAATTTTATACTTGAAATTAACAAAACGACGTCGTTTTAGAAGGCTCGAGACGCATATTATTATGTGTGCCCGGTGGACGGTATAACGATTGCTAAAAATCATAGTAAAATTAGCAACTTATGCATTAGTCATTACACATTAGTCAGTACGTGAAGGCTAATAGACAGCTGAGGGGACTTGCTTATAAGGGGGACTTTTTACTTCATGAAATTCGGGGAGATTAACTCAACTCCCGATTTTGCCTAACCTAATCTACAAATCTGAATATTGGATAGTTGAACCGGGGAAGCAGAATCCAACTCACGCATTTGGGGAACTAGCCATATCAGTAATAGTTGTAATATGTATATAATTTATTAATTACAGGTACATAATATATTATGTTAAAGTAGTAGGTACATAAGTTATTAATTGAAGATACATAATATACTAATTACATTAACATAATCTGAATGTTGTTTTTTTATTAGGATTTACAATGCAAGATGAATCTTGCTCCATAGTCACCAATTACTTCCACTATGCCAATTGTTATACCGTGAACCAAGAATATAATTTGTTAACTACAAACAGATAATATGCAAATTACATATTATGTGCTTGTAGTTAACATATTATATGCCTTCAATTTAATTATAAACACATAATAGGTTAACTGTAGACACATAATCTGAATGTCATTTTGGATCAGGTTCACATTGCAATGTAGACACTGACAAATTATGTTGTGGACCCGGGTCCAAAACGGCGTCGTTTTGAAGCAAAACGACGTTGTCTGAATTTTTTTAAAAAATTGCTTCCTTCCTTACTGTTAACTTGCCGTTTGTCTTCAGAATTCGTTTATCTATATTCACAATTTTTGAATTTTATATTCAAAATTTTAAAACTCTATATTCACAATTTTAAAACTGAATATTCACAATTTTATATCTCAATATACAAAATTATATAACTCAATATTCACAATTACATGAGTCTATATTCACAATTTTTGGATTATATATTCACAACTATATCAACAATATAACACAATTTTTGAACTTTATATTCACACTTTTTGTACTCTATATTCACAAAAGAAATAATAATAATAATAATATCATTGGCTGAGGAAATGGTGACACTAAGGCACCATTATTCCAGACGCGCAATGCTGCGTCATTTTGGACTTGGATCCACCTTGCAAGGTGGACTTGGGTTCATGGCATAACAATTTGTAGACATTATACCTGGAGCGTTATGTTGTGCAAGCGTGTGCACATGGTTGCAAAAACAACGTCGTTTTGACGTCTGACTTAAAAAAAAAAAAATTCAGAATTGCATAACTGCACATCCATAACTTCATAACTATACATTCGGAATTACATAACTACACATCCATAACTTCATAACTATACATTCAGAATTGCATGCATAACTACACATCTATAACTTCATAACTATACATTCAAAATTGCATAACTATACATCCATAACTTCATAACTATACATTCAGAATTGCATGCATAACTACACATCCATAATTTCCAAAATGTTGTTTCTGCAGGTCATTGGAAAGGAATAAAGCTATCAAGACATGGTCCCCTCATCTCACACCTTATGTTTGCTGACGACGTAGTCCTATTTGGCGAAGCCTCGGTTCAACAAGCCGAGTCCATGCTTCAATGTTTAAACATGTTTTGCCAGGCCTCTGGTGAACGCATCAACTTCAACAAATCATCAATGCATTTTTCTGGCAACACGCCCCCGGAGATCCAACAAGCTGTGATGGACAAAACAGGCATCCCTCGTGTTCAAAACTTCGGGAGATACCTGGGCATTCCCTCACTTCATGGAAGACTCAAGAATGACACCTTCACAGGGATAATTGAAAAAGTCAGAAACAGACTCAATGGCTGGAAATCTAAGACTCTCTCTCTAGCCGGCAGAATTGTGCTTGCCCAATCTGTCCTTGCTGCAATCCCGTATTACACTATGCAAACTACCCTAATTCCCAAAGGGGTGGTTTCAGAAATCGACCGAATCATACGATCCTTCATCTGGGGGGCTGGCGCGGGCGAAAGAAAATGCCACCCGATTAAGTGGAGCACAGTAACACAATGCAAGGCCAATGGTGGATTGGGTATCCGTAGCTCTGAAAATATGAATACTGCCTTCCTCGCAAAACTTGGATGGAGACTCATGACAGATGATAATTCGCTATGAGCCGAGGTATTCAAGAGCAAATACTCCGCCAATGTCTCACCAACAACTTGGCGCCCGAAAAGGTATATGTCCAATGCATGGAAAGGAATTCTCAAGAGTGTTCCCATCCTTCTAGCAGGATCCAAAAGACTGGTCCGAGACGGCAGAAGCACCCTTTTTTGGCTAGATATCTGGATTGGAAATTTTCCCCTCCATGAAATTGCAATCAGACAAGTCCCTACCTCCATCTTACATTCAATGGTACAGGATTTTTGGTCAGACCAGTCAGGATGGAACTGGGGAGCTTTTGCGGAGTACCTTCCAGAAGATGCGCTGAATATGATCGAGGCCACTATGATCTGTATAGAAAACAACCTACCGGACCAAATCTTCTGGAGCAGCGAACCTTCTGGCCGATTCACAGTCTCCTCTACATACGACTTAGCATCAGGTAATGAAGCTCCACTGGAGGGGATATGTTGGTCCAATATCTGGAAATTGAAAGTACCATGAAAGATAAACACCTTCATGTGGCTTACCAGACACAATAGGATTATGACCAATGTCAACAGAGCTAAGCGTGGCCTTACCTCGGACGCCTACTGCTGGGCCTGCCCTGGGAGCTGGAGGATGTTGATCATGTGTTGAGAAGTTGTCCCAAGGCCAATGCAATTTGGAATCTGTTCTTACCCAACTTTATGTTTACAACGAACTCCCTTCCATTCTTCGAATGGTTCGATCGCGGCATCATCGATACAAACCACGGCAGATCCCCTTCCAGTTCGGCCAGATTATTTGCTATCATCTTATGGTGGATTTGGCGTTGGAGGAATGATGCGATCTTTAACAACTATGAGCCATCTTTAAACATGAAGCGCAGCTGGATTACACATCAATATGAGACAACTGAATCTGCCTTTGCTAACTCCTCTGGCCTCATGAGTTCCTCTCCACCAGCTTGGAGCTATACCTCCTGGTCTAAGCCCCAAGACCACTGCATTAAAATCAATGTGGATGGGAGTGTGGATCCTAGGAACAACTTAGCTGGATGTGGGGGCCTTGCAAGAAATAGCGATGGACAATGGATCAAAGGCTTCACCTGCAAACTTGGAAACTGCTCCCCTTTGATGGCCGAAGCATGGGCCTTATTGAGAGGAATCCAACTAGCCAAATCTATCAACCTTCAACACGTTTGCTTCGAAAGTGATTGCAAGGAGATTGTCCAAGGTTTCTTCTCCAACTCATTGGAATCATCCATGGCTCATAACCTGCTACTGGCTTGTAGACGTGAACTCAGCTCAATAAGAATTTGGAGGATTGCCTGGATCCCGCGTGAGAACAACCGCACCGCTGATGCCCTCGCAAAAATGGCAGTGTTTCGCCCCCGTGGCTTCCATTCCCTCCCTTTAGCCCCGGCGGAAATTTTACAATTTTTAAACGATGATATAGCTGGCATTCCTTTCTGGAGGCATGGCCTCTTGTATTAGACTTTGACTCCTCCTTTCTCTTATTTTAAATGCATGGGTATCACCCTCCTTTCTTTAAAAAAAATAAAAAATCTAGAATTGCATAACTACACATCCATAATTTCATAACTATAAATTCAGAATGTGAAATTATAAAATTATGAACAAATTTTTACGTAACTAACGACAATCGAAAATAATTTTATTTTATTTAAGTAAAACACCGTTTTTGCATCCGTGTGCATCATGCATGGTGCACACGGATGCACAACATAATTCTATACCTCGATTGGGCTTATAGTCAAGGCCCAATAACTATGAAGAGGCAGTTCTAGCCGTTGGCCCAATTGGGTCCAGAGTATAATGCCCGTCAAAGTGAGCAAAAAAATTGGGAAAAAGGTACTTCACTCAGCAGTTACTCGACCGCTGTGAACTCAAGTGTTCGCCAATGTCTGCCGCTTCGCCTCCAGCAGAAACCCTAAACCCTGCAATGATCGCGCCGGAGGATTCATCGGACCAGGTCCCATTACCCGAAGCTCTGCCCCAAATAGAACCCGACGAAACCAAACCATCCGAGAAGCGAAAACGGGAGGAAGAACCCGACCCGGATTCGCGGCAGAACCCCCTCTGGAAGACGACTCTGTGCTCCTACTTCCGGAGGTCGGACGGGTCCTGCAGCCACGGAGACTCTTGCCGGTACGCCCATGGAGAGGCAGAGCTCCGGCCCCGACCTGACAACTCCTGGGACCCGACCTCCGAGCGGGCGAAGAAGATGGCTAGGAAGGCTGATGAGGATGTGGACACAGCTGATGTCAAGGAAGAGAAAGGCAACGAGGTCATGATGACGGAAGCTTTCGCAGAGGAGGAAGGATTTTCGTCGGGTTCCAAGTTGGCAAAGTGCTTTGTGAATCTTCCTCTCAAGTGGAGTTCGGATAAATTACAGAATTTCCTCAATGAACACGTTAGTTTTTTTTGTTTTTTTTTTTTCTTTTCCTCCATGAAAGTTAGAGCTTTGATTTTGAAATGCTGCATTTTAGTTATTTGCATAAATTATTATATCCAATGAACTTCTCTACTTATGATTGGTTTTTTCTATTTACCTTGAGCGTTCATGTAATTCAAGAACAATAAGAGGTAGCGATGAACAAACTAAAAAGGACATGGTAAAAATATTCATCTGTTGGATGAACCCGAAAATTATCATGTTTTGTAGGATGTAGCTTTGTTGGAACATAACTTGCTAATAATAATACTAATATATCTGAATATGGAGTTAGAAGATAGAACTTAGAACCCATGAAAAGAGAAGCAGGGTTAGATGTTTTGACTTGTTACAGACTCTTCATGCCATGTTATGTTGCTGCAATATCATACAGTGATATTGATTAATTTTTATCTTCAGGGGATTCTGTTCAAGGCTGCTAAGAAGAAAAGGGGTATGGTTGTGGGATTTGTGACTTTTGAAAATGCAGAGCAAGTGAAAAGTGCTGAGGTATGCCTTGAATTTTGAAGTTTGATTGGACTGGCTCAGAAGTTTTAGTACAATGAGGAGATTGTACTGATTTATCCAGAGTTTATTCATTAATTACAATGTGGCAGGAGCTAGATGGAAAGGAGGTTGGCAACAAGACTTTGAAGGTTGCAGATGTTATTCCAAGGTCATTTGAGAAACAAAATAAAGATGAAAAACAAGTCCTGTCTGGGGGCAGCTTGGACATATCCGGTGGAGCAAATAATATTCAGTTAGGCGAAAATTCAATGAACAGTGATTCTGTAGTGAAGGGTAGAAGTGCTCGTAGTGCAGTGACTCCTCTTGCTGATGTGCCCTATGCTGACCAACTGGAGGACAAGAAGAACTCTCTGATGCAAACCCTAAAAAAACTTGTCAGAATCTCTTGTATTTAAACCTTTTTCTTTCTGTTAATATAATCTCCAGCATCATTACTAGTTGATTTGGTCTTTAACTGTTTTATATTTGTATAGACTCGAAGTGCACGCAAAGCTTGTCCAAGTGGTGTTTCACTTCCGGAATGGATTATCAATTCAAGAGATATAGGTGCCCGTTGTAATTATGTTTTTCAATTGAAGATAATTTCCTAAGATTCTAGCAGGCATTTGATTTTTCTTAGTCCATTATAAGAAAATGAAAGTGATCGTCTTGTTTGCTTAATGGAATTTTCTGAACAATTTTATCAAGCTGTTGGAGTGTTTTATGTATGATTTCTAGAAGAATGAGATCCCAGAATGTTGATGTAGCTCCTTATCCACATGCTCTCCTTTGCAGGTGGTCTCCCATGCAAACTGGAGAGTGTAGTTGCATCTCCACTTATTAATGGATATCGAAACAAGTGTGAATTTTCTGTGGGTTATTCCCTAAAAGGGAAACCTTGTGTAGGGTTTCTGCTTGGCAACTTCAGGTAGCTTTATTTGAATGGAGTTTGCAGGAGGTAATTTGTATACTATTCTTCCACATAATGGTAATTCATTTTTTTTTTTGTTTTTGTTTTAGGGAGGGTGTGACTGCTGTCGAGGAACCCGTGGACTGCCCTAATATCTCCAGGGTTGCTTGTAGATATGCTGCTATCTTTCAAGAATTTCTACAACATACGTCCCTACCTATGTGGAACAGATTGAATAATACTGGATTTTGGCGTCAACTTACGGTATATCAACCCCAACTGAACTCTACGTTGCTGTCATACTAGAATTAAAATCAGACTATAGCTGTTCTATCTGTCTCCATCAATTGTTCATATAATGTTATTTTAATTGGGAAGTGCATGTTGTGTTCTCATCTCACCTTCTTTTTCAATATCTGTTTTAGGTTCGGGAAGGTCGAACACCAGGAAAAACTGCAGAGGTTGAAAATCCCGAGTCACATATTTCAGACGTCATGCTCATGGTTCAGGTTAGTGTCTCATTATTATTATTGTTGTTGTTGTTGTTGTTGTTGTTTAAGTCTTTGCAAATTTCATTCATACTTCCTGTTTATCTATGTTATTATTTCAATTTATGACATTCTGGACTTTTTTTAGATCTGCTCTGTTGGGCTTGAATCTCAATTAGTTAATACTGAACTTCACAAGATGGCCAAAGCCTTTGTTCATGGGGCTTCTGCAGAACTTCCAGTGTTACCTCTAACATCATTGGTAGTTCAGGTACTTGGAATACTGTTACCACAGAGGGAGAGAAAGTTTGTGTTTTTAATTTATTTTTTACTTCACTTGCTCCTTTCCTCCACTACGTGCATTTGGACCTAAAGAATTTTATTTTATCTTTTCACATGCAGGACCACACAGGTATATCAAATGTAGCTCCATCAGATGCTCCTCTGAGGTCTCTTCCCATTCTAGAAGAAGGAAGTGATTATAGAACAGAAGCAGCTGGTGCAATTGCTGAAGCAAAAATTCATGATTATATTAATGGTCTTCAATTTTGTATATCACCAACAGCTTTCTTTCAAGTGAGAACTTTACTTTTAACTTTTTCATTTTTCTATCATTATCCTTCTTTATTTTCCAAATCAGATGGAACATATAAGTTGTTAGCTTATGCTTCAAGAAATTGCAGGTCAACACCCTTGCAGCAGAGAAGCTGTACTCCCTAGCTGGGGAATGGGCAGGTTTGGGTCCTGATACGTTACTTTTTGACATATGCTGTGGAACTGGTACAATCGGCCTGACTTTATCTCACCGTGTTGGTATGGTAATGGTCACTACTCCTTTTGACTGGTGTTCTTTGGTTTAGTACTGTAAACAACTTCCTTCACAGGATTAAATGCAATTCCCCTCATAAACTGGAGTACTGTTATCAATTGAGAAATACACGGAATTGGAAGTTTGCTATAAATTTGGGCTAATTATTACTGCTTATCTGGTTTGTGTGAGCAGTTTATGTTCAGTTTTAGTAGGGATCTGTAATGTATTCACTTCTGATTTTTTATTTTTTTTTTCAAAATGGATTATAAAGTTATTTTGCTTTTGACTTTCCAGGTTGTAGGCATTGAAATGAATTCTTCTGCAGTTTCAGATGCTCAAAGGAATGCAGATATTAATGGCATAAAAAACTCCAGATTTATTTGCGCAAAGGTTTGGATGGTTTGACATTCTTTACTATGTAGTTCTATCTCTCTTTCTGAATGGAATTTATTTTGCATTCATGAATGGAATTTATTTTGCATCATAATTCTTCAATATGCGTGACTGCTTTCAGGCAGAGGATGTTTTGGGTTCTGTATTGAAAGAGTACCTAGTGGGACCTCAGATACAGGATGAATTATCAAAGCCATTAAAGAAGAGTGACCTGAAAATTACCTCCCTCGAAGAAAAGGTTGACTCAGAAGATAAAACGCCAGGATCAGAGGATCAAAATGGCTTTGACCAGGAAAGTAGCAAAAGTGCGGCTGAATTGTTAGAAAATGGCAACAAAGATACTGAAGATCAGCTTCATATGAGGGGTGAATCGGAGAATACAACCACTCCAGTGCAAAAATTTAACAATGTTGTTGCAATTGTGGATCCTCCTCGTATGGGACTTCATCCTACTGTAAGTGATCTGATTACATGCTTACATTAATAAGCATTGGATTGTTCAAGCATTATTTGTTTAGCTGCCACTACACTTTGGTTTGTAAATGTTAGTCCCACCATCAATGTATTTGATTGTTTGTTTTTATTTTTTGACACTTAAGTGAAGGATTTAAATTCGGCTAAATCTGTGCCTTTGGTGTAAGCAGGTTATCAAAGTTCTAAGGACCCATCAACAGCTAAGGAGGCTTGTGTAAGTTCCTCTAAGTGACCAGTTATATTGTTTACCTTTGATCTAGGGCATGGTATGGAGATTGCTTTTTAATGTTATTTTCTATTCTATTCTTGAATTTACTGAGTTTTGGCATTTCTCTTCCCTTTTTTCTTTCTTCTTTTGATCAGATACATTTCGTGTAATCCTGAAAGCTTGGTGGCAAATGCTATTGAGCTTTGCACACCATCTGCTGAAAAAGTTGTGAAAGACAATAATAAAAACAACAGAGTGTGGAAGAATATGAGCAGTGCCGGTCTTGCTCGACACAGGACCAAGTCCATGCCTAAATCAGAGCCTTTTAAACCTGTCAAAGCTACGGCAGTTGATCTTTTCCCTCATACCCCACATTGTGAACTGGTCATGCTTCTGGAAAGGTAAATATGACAAATGTCATGAGAAATGGTCCTGGTTTGGCACTTGGGCAAGTTTATTTGAGGATCCTGAAGGTAGAAGGTTCCATTTTCAAATACGGGAATGATCATATGTTTCTAGTGGACACTGGATTGATTCACTATAACTCCAGATGATTCCACTAGCACTTTTGAGGTTATTATTTGTTAATTTTATGAAAAAATATGAATCAGTACTTTGATGTTCTACATCCTACTTCAATATTTTTATCTCTTGATAAACATATAAAGCTTTAAAGAAAATTTCACATGGTTCACATAATGTTCATTTACTAATGAATTCCAATCATACATGAAGAATTTGTTACTGGTTGTATTCAGTTAAAATTTTAACTTTAGATTTAGGATCTTGAAGTTTCTAAGTTGATTAGTTGATATAACCCCCATCCCCAACCCCTCACCAAAAGGAAAGTAAAAGAGAAAGATAATAAAAGGAAATAAGGAGGAGGTAGAGTTACATGTCTTACTTGTATTATAGCAGCATTATCAATATGGCTTGTTGGGATAATGATTATCAATGTGGCTTGTTACTGATTGTGTTCATGATTCTGTGAATTTGATGACAGTGAATGTCTAGGAGTAGGATTAAGACTGCTGGCTTTTGCTTAAGCAGTGATGAAGATTCTTAATAAAATAGTCGGAAACTCTAGGTTTATATTTCTATTTCTAAAGCCCTCTTTAATATTGTGTATCACTGTATCCCATGAACCTAATCATTTTTTGAACTTAATTAAAGAAATCACCTTTATTAGGACTTGGTAAAGCTTCAAATGAAGGATTTAGGCTCTCCAATTTGCATCTTGTCATGTCTTTGATTTGCCAGCACTTCTTTTGCCTTCCTTTTGCTTTCTCTTCTTTTTCTATTATTCACAGGTATCGAATATTGGACCCTAAACTCCCATGTCCCAATCCAATCCACCCTTATTTTGTGGCGGGATGAACTGGTTCAGTCCATTTTGACAGCTCTTGACTATCTGTATTGACCCACCCTCTCCCAGTCCTCACATGACCTCCTAAAATAAATTTGATTTCACACTTGAAAGTGCTTATCTATATGTCATTTTATGCCATCTGCTATTGAAGTGAATCCCTTTCACCTTTGTTTCATATATATATATATTGACTAGTATTGGAAGTGGGTCATTTTCCTCTAATTTTTAATATTAATTGCTTCAACAGTTACGGGGGATTATTTTAAAACCAATAATTCAAGATCCATTAAGATTGCATCACTATATATGCTTTTCCTAGTATGTGTTTGGATATTGCAGAAGCATAAGCATCATACTGCATCTTAACCTAGGGTGTGGTTGAGTGAAGGAGACTCATTCATCCTTAACCAAAGGTCCCTTAACCAAAGGTCAAGGGTTTGATCCTTGGCTTTGGGTATGGAGCAATTTTCAATTCCAAGCTTACTGTCTTACATAAAAGAGATGCTTACAATTCAACGAGGAAATTAGTCACTATTTCCGACGTTAGAAACCATTGGTACACCCAAAAAAAAAAAAAAAATCATACTGGATCTTTTGTGGTCTTTCATGATATCCACATGATGGATTCTAACTAGAACTAGGCAACTAGCTGTGAGAGACTTTCTATTTCTAATTAGTTAAGAGTTGTCAAAATAGTTTGGATTTGACGAGTTGTTTGGCCTTGTCATATAATACTGGTGGATGTATTGAGTTTGGCATTGGCTAGAATTTCACACGGACATGTACTTTTTAAAAATGTAGTGATGACTTAGAGTGTGTTTGGTTGGTGGGTTTTGCCCATAGGAATGGGTATGAAAATGATTGTTGTCATTTGGTTGATAGGTTTTTAGAACACTACTATGGGTTTCGAATATCTCATCAATTGAAAAACCCATACCTAAATAAAATAAGGGTTTCATTCCCTTGTTCATTTTCAAGCACTACTATTAGTAACCATTCTCATTCCACCCTACTACCAAACATGTTAAGTACTTCCACCAAAACCCATTACCATTACCAAGTATTTGATACCCATTCCGATTCCGATTCCTATGTGCGAACCAAACACACCCTTAGTTTTACATATTACTAGTTCGAATTTTATTTATTTATTTATTTTTAATGACAACCATGATCATCTTCATCAATTCTAAAATGTTCCGTGGGCTAGCATAAGTAATAGACCACTTGACTTAATGTTACCACTTCAATGGCAAGGTAGAGGTTCTAGGTATTAAGGCATAATATTTGTATATATTTTATTATATTTATTCTAGTTGATTTAGTTTAGTTTGCAATACTTTCTCTTCTGTAATTTTAGTTCAAACTTGTTAGGATCTTTTCTATTTAAACCTTATATTGTACTATGTTTCTGTGAATCAATATATATATTTTTTCCACTCTAATATGGTATCAAGAGCCTAACTCATACGAGATTTTTCTTTTCCCTTCATCATTCGATCCTATGGCTACTTCAGCTACCATGACCATCATTCAATTATCTGTCCCAACCAACTTCCTAATTTGCCTTACCGATGTCAATTTTTTCGGTTTGGCAACGCATGTTTGTTCTACGCTTAACGACCTTGGTTTATTGGGGTATATTGATGGTACTGTAAAAGAACCCACACAATTTTTTGACATTGCAACAATGATTTTGAACCCAGAACATGTGAAGTGGATGCGTCAGGATCAGATTATTCTTACAGCTCTTCTCGGCAGTTGCATTGAGATAATCCAGCCTGTCATCTCCACGGTTAGGGGTGGAAATACGCCAGGCCGAGCCAGACTTTAGAAACGTAGGAATGAACATGAAAATCTAAAGCCTAGGCATGGGTCTGGGCCTGTCTGTAGACTTTTTTTAGGCTCAAGCCTGCCTTAACCTGGCTTGAAGCCTTTTTAAGGCCTACATTTTAAAGCCTTTTAATATATTCTTGTAAAAAATTTATAAAAAATTACCTAATACATATATAAGTATTGGTTTAGTCTAACCTGTTATACTTTCTCTCCTGTAGTTTTGGTTCAGAGTTGTTAGGATCTTTCCTACTTAAACCTTGCAATGTATTGTGTTTCTGTGAATCGATATATACATTCTTTCCACTCTAATACTAGGAAGTGAGGAGGTAAGGGATTGATCCTTTGTGTGTAGAGTCAACGATAAGGACTGACTGAGAGGTTGTTTGGGGGACTTGCGGTTTACCTTCTCTAGTGATTCTTGGACAGAAATTTTGGAAACTTAGAAGTAGTAAATAGCCTTGGCCCCTTCGTTATTTGATTTGGAGGTCCAGATTTAGACATTGTTTAGGAAATAATCATGACTATGTCATTGTCGAACGAAGGTGATTAGTGGGTGTTGTCAATTAGAGTTGGCATAATTTGTTGAACATATACTAGGAATATGTTATATTGTAATAAAAAAAATAACAATAATTTACTAAATACATAATATTCAATCATATCCTAGCCCACTAATCCAATTTTCAATCGTTATGTTATGGACCCGTGTCCAGCATACATTGTGGATACAGTAACAGTGCCGTTAGTGGCACCGTTATCTTCCACCATTTTTTTTTAAATTTCAGACCGCTTCGTTATAGGAGCATATGTTCATAATTTTATCACTATGTTCATAATTGTAAGTTCATAATGTTAGAGCTCTGTGTTCATAATTTCATAACTGTACATTCATAATTCTGTAACTGGTACATTCATAATTCAATAACTGTAAATTCATAATTTTCAAAGCTCTATGTTCACAATTTTAGATCTCTATGTTCATAATTTTATCACTATATGTTCATAATTGTAAGTTCATAATGTCAGAGCTTTGTGTTCATAATTCCATAAGTGTACATTCATAGTTCCATAACTGCACATTAATAATTCCATAACTGTACACATGATTCCACAAATGAATAACGCCGTTAACGGCGAGACAAAATCAATTTTTAAAAAAAACTGAAATGCCGTCATTTTTCCTGAAAACGACGTCGTTTTGGACTCGCGTCCACAACGCATTGTGGACACGAGTCCACAACATAATTTGCCTCCAATTTTCAATTATTATAGTGTGTACCATGATCTATATTGTATGATAAATTACTAATCTACAAGTTCATTTTTATTATATTGATCTTGAAAATTTATTTTTATTATACTGAAAATTTATTTTTTATGTATTACAAATCAATTTTTGAATAGTTATTTTTAGTATATCGTAAAAATTCATTTTTAGTTTATAATATAAAAATAAACATACAGTACATTAAAAATAAATATTTTTTTAAAAAAATTGCCTGGCTTCAAAATTAGTTCGTCCAGCATTCCAGCGGCGCATGCTACCACTCTGCCAGCACCTAGTCGCCCGGTGACGCCACCTTGTTTCAACAAAGAATTATTTCGAGTGTTTGGTTGTCCACCACAATTTTTTCTAATGATAAAATTGATCTAAATCTTAAACTAAATTTCTATTCATGAAATATAGTTATCTAATCAAAGGCCAACTAATTTCTATACAATTGCATGTGTGCTTGTGATATGGGTCTTAATTTCAGCATGTTTGTCTCTATTTATATGCGATGTTGTTTGTTGAACTTCTTTTACTTGTCTTTACACTACTTCATCCAATGTTGAAAAAAAGTGCTAAGCGGGTGCTTAGGAGATCGAACGCCTAGCTTTTAGGCGCGATTTTTGCAGCACTGACTTCATCTCTACATATGTCTATCTTACTTGTTAATCTTGATACTTTCGTCTCAACAAAGTATCACTTTTTTTTATTTATTTATGTTAGTTGAGAGCTATCGAAACAAGCTCAACACACCAGGTTGGGCTTAGCCCGGGTTCTAGCCGAGTGGTGGAAATCTGGCAAATTATGCTGTGCATCCGTATGCACCATGCATGGTGCATACGCATGCAAAAACGACGTCGTTTTAATAAAATGCGGGTCTCCTCTTAAAAAAAAAAAATCAGGTTCGATTCCCAGCAACAACATATGAACTAAAATTTCAGAATCGATGAACTATAATTCCATAATCGATGAACTATAATTCCAGAATCTAATCTATGAACTAAAAATTTCAGAATGAATGAACTAAAATTCCAGAATCTATGAACTAAAATTTCAGAATCGATGAGCTAAAATTCTAGAATCGATGAACTATAATATCAGAATCAATGAACTATAATTCTATAATCTATGAACTCAAATTCCATAATGAATAAACAACATAATGTTGTTGTTAGGAATCGAACCTGATTTTTTTTTTTAAAGGGGAGATGCGCGTTTT